TCGTAAAACTTGTCGCGAACCACTAAATACTGTGTAGCAATATTATGGATAATTACGTTGTAATATGTAGACATTTATGTACCTAAAAAAAAATTATTACAAGGACTAATACATTGTATTTTGGTAGATATGAATAGGTAGCTTCTACCGCAAGTAAGAATCCATGCATATGTGTTAGGGTTGACTTTTTACTGCAGAAACATGTGTCGGTAGCCCTGTTTGACCACGTTTTTGACCCATTTCTCATTATTATTTGCCAAAAAGAACCATATATTCTTAAAGTAGAACATACATAGATTATTTATGCATAAAAGTCAAACTATGGTTCTTTAGGAAAAATATGAGATAAATGCGGTCAAAGTTGGAAGAAAATAACAGAATTCTGTCTTTTGCAGAATTGCGCCTAGCGCATTTTTGGAGGGCAATTTGTCAAAACGCACATTTTGATTAATGAAGGGCAAGGAGGACATTTCTCACATGTTCAAAACCGTGAGTCCAAGTCCAAGAGAGGTGATTAGGTGAATCTCAACCCTTTTCCACCTAAAATGGAGGGGAGTTTCAACCAACCTATGGTGCTATAAAAGGAGGCCATCCATCCCTCAGCAAATCATCCCTTTCAAGCTTCATTTCATATTCTTCTAGATACTCTCTAGTTGTAGAACACGTTTTTAGGGTTTATGTTCATGTTCTAGTTGTTCATTTCTTTGTTTTTCACGCTTTTACCTTTCGTAGTGCTTTTAATTCAGTTTCTTACTTCCGTTCTTTGTTCATTCTGTTATTTTAAAGTTCTTTAGCGAGTTTCAACTCCCCTCACGCTCGAGAGAGAAGATGGTTAAGCTAGAACTCCTTGTACGGCTCGTTATTCATTTAAATTCAATGAAAAATACTTTCTTTATGTTTTCGTGCATTTACTTTCATTTAATTATGTTCTAAATTAGTTATCAACCTCCTTGTGGAATGCCTTAGTCAAAAGATTTGATTTTCAACACGCTCGGGATTTTGGCAAGATTGCGCCTGACACTTTTTTGGGTTGGTTTCTAAAAACTTCTCTTTACATCTTTTTTTCATTTGGCCAGTGGAAACTTGATTTATACACCAAAGCCCGACCTTGGGAAAGGTGAGTTAGGTAAAATAATAGGAAACCAATATGGGATGTGACTTAGGAATAAGCGCATAAAATATGGTCCTAGGAATAGGCCCTCTGACCCATAATGCAAATGAGTTGGTAGATATTCTCTAGGATTGTAATCACACATAGGAATATGATTGTAGGTTACCCTAGTCTCTGCAGCAACCAAAAGTGGTAGTGAAAGAGTAGAACTCAAATCCCAAGAAAAGTCAGGAATTGCGTCTGGTGCATTTTCCCAACATAGTGTGTTTTCCATGTTTTGCATAAAAACTAAGGTAGGAGACAAGGAGGTTGAGTTTCATTAAATTGCCTTATAGTTAAAACCCCAAACAACAACATTTCACCATTATTTCACAATTGCATATTTGAACTATTTCACTGCATTACTTGATTTTGAAAAGCAACAAGTCCCTGAGGATTCGACCTTGGATTACTTCCGAGTATTACTTGTGACCGTGTGCGCTTGCACGAGTCTCTAATCTTTTTAAAGGTAGAGAAAATCCCAACAATATGCACTAACAATAGGTTGTTGTTCTTTCATATATGATTACAACTTGTTTTATGTAATGTTACTGTTCATCAGTGACTACAGCTAAAAAAAAGTATGCTAAAACAAATTAGGATAAGTCATATTTAGGTCGGTGGAAAAAAAATCGATACAAAGAATAATTACAACTAAAAAAAGGGTCTGCGAGCCCACATTTGTACAGCATATTGACGACGAAATAAAGAAATGTTACTTTGAATCAAAGTGTCCATCTTTGACCCAGTTACATCGTACTCGAAAAATCTAACACAAAATATGCCGCAATCTGTGAACCCGGCTTGCTGAGGTACAGTACATCTTCGGACCCTCCATGGCACCGTGTGCAGGATAGGCCGAAGTGCGAGCATCCCGCTCCAATGAAGAATCACCGGGATTATCGTGCACATTGGCTTGAGCGCCTTCTCGAGATCCTCCAATGGGGTGATCGCTTGCAGTGAGTCCCATACGGTTAAATCACCCTCCACAAGATCAATCCCGATCATAACCCAGTGGTTGCCGCCAATATTCATCGGCGTGTACACGATATCGGCCTCGCTCCATGGGGTGTCGTAGTCCGATTGTCGTCCAAGCACGTACCGAAAGATGGTACGCTCTTGCCTCCAATCATACATACATTTCGACGGCAGGACACCTGGCTTCATGGCTGCATATGGTCCGTCTGTTCGTCGTAGCAAGTTCTGCAAAGAGAAAACCCCCACAAACGTCATTCATGTATCGAAGTCATATCGTTCGTTACATACATGGGGGAAAGGTAAGCTGAACATACGGAGAGAAGTACGTCGCCTATTGCAAATCGCACACGCAATAGATGTTTACACTTCTCAACCTTCCTCGCCGTTAGCAGCATGAGCGAGTCGATATACTGCATGTGACATTATAAAAAGTATAAGTCTAGAATTAAAAACAACTTTGCTGCTTCTAAACTTCACTAACCTCGTCGTCGAGTTGAAACTGAGGATCCAGGAGCAGTCCAAACCAACTCTTATATTTTATCCCGACGGACGTTGAACGGGAATTGCCGTCGGTTGATGGGTCGTCCATCCATTTCTGGAACCCCTCGTCCAGAAGCGGTGGGATGGGGCATGTAGGGTCGTACGATTGAACTTTGATACCACATTGGCCGGTGGGCATGTATATGGCCCGCAACTTCCACGGATATTTCCTCTTCCGAAGACCCTGGCCAAGTGGGCCTTCAATAAATTCAGGTTCAACCTGGAACAAGTATAAAGAAAGTTCAATACAACACTTAATGACGTTAGAGTTTGGGTTCGACGTTGGAGTTACCTTAACGACGGCCAGCTGTGGAGTTCCTCCATGTGATAAGGGTAGGGGTAGACTTTCTGTTCTATCCGTTTGCTTTCTCGGTGTCCCTGCTGGTTGCGGTGTCGGTACGTTAACCATCCGCCCCTTACTTGCCTCCCTGTCATTGGCGCACCCACCTAGAGTAATATCCTAAAAGTGGACGAACATTTGCTTTAAGTAAATAAAGGTAGGTTAACGTAAGCCAGTTAGTATCGTTACAGAAATACCTCAATTATTCTGGCCCGCAACTTCGGATCYTCATCCATGTCCGTATCCTCGTCGTTACGCCCACTCGGATCACGTCCGCCCGAAGAACCATCCTGATCCGGCCCACCGCCCCTTCTTTCAGATTTATTCTGGCCCTTCGACATAACCTACGTAATAAAAATTATAATATACGGATGTGAACAAGAAATTCAGATAATACAATAACTCTTACCTTTGTTAGCCTCTTCATATACTTCTTTATGTCCTTTAGGTCAGTCGTCATGCTCGTCAGAGTTGTCTCAATGGCCGTCACTCTGTCGCCGAGCCTCCGCAGCTCCCAACTCCACTTATGCATCGACTTTTTCTTCTTCTTCTTCGTCCCTTTCTGTGGCAACAATTGATCTTGTCCTCCATCGTTCCCTATAATATCTTCTGTTGCATGATCAACCACTGGGGAAGCATCCTCACCAATAATATCTTCTGCTACATCATCGAGCTCAACTAGATCCCCAACCTCACCAGTAACGGGAGACTTCTGAGCGGTGGAAGTAGAAGCCAGTGGTTCTGTAGCAAGTTCTATGGGTGCAGGAGGTCCGACATGGGCCACCGATGGATGCATAACGCGAGCCATGTGCTGTCGTTCGACATCAGTCGCCTCCAAACGAACTACAACCTTCGACTGTATAACACAAATAGTTAGGTCAA